CTTATTTTAACGTTTTGGGAGGAGTAAAATTTGCATATGTGGTTTCAACAACCAGATGCATTTACAGTTGTCGAGTTTCGTCTGGAATGCGGCCCAGACCACCTCCTGAAGTGGTTTGAGCGATCGGTTTTATATCCGTCTCAAATGCGTTTCGGAGGGCATTTACACCTGGTCTTTTCACGATCGGATAGCTTGAGGCTCACAAGCTGTTTGAGACTGAGTGCGGCTTGTGTGCACTCCACTAATATTGACCAGTTCTGGTGCAAGCGCTTTTGGTGCAAGCGCGAAACCTGCGGGAATGACTAAAATAATGCGCAATACAAGCATTTAACCGGAGCGAATTAGACGTGTGTGAGAGAGAATGGGTCGTCGGAGAGAGGAGAGCGAGAATGCGCGGCTGACGTTATTGCCTGTGCCGCTAGTAACAAAACGGATCGGCTCGGAATCAGAAAGAAGAGAGACTGATCGGCCGGTCTCTAGTAAAATCTGTGCCGTTAAGCATTATCACGTACCGCCGTGATGTTATGCAAAACATTTTTTTTTTCGTTGTTATTGGAATGCGAAGTACACATTACAATGAAGTAAGGTTGTGACGGTGAGGAAATTTTCCCACCGGTTAATCGACGTGTGACAACACCGATAATACCGGTATCACCGTGGGGGCAGGGGCGTTCCCTCTTTTCCTCGATTTCCTTCGCTTTTAAATATCTTGCAAAAGCGGCGTGCGCATTTTACTTTCACTTTCAAATAGCGGCAATTCTGCGTAAAGCAATTGTTAGTTTTTAGTTAGTTTGAATTTTCCCTCTTTTCCTCGCTTTCCGAATATAACGAATAAAAATACACCATGCTATAGGGCAGAATATGCCTAATATAAAATAACAAATAACTGACAAAGTTTAAATAGGTATACAAAACTGGAAATGAGTAAACATGTATAATATATAACCAAATAAATAAGAAAAGTAGAACGTTTATTAGCAAAACGAATAAGAAAGCTTGGAGGCACAGCATACACCGTGATGTCAAATGAAATAAATAAATTACACAAAGTTTAAATAAAGTAAAAATCAGCAAGCACCATGGAACCAACC